CAGTCTTCAGCAACCATCATGCTTATTTGATTTTTTATAGCACTCTTTAACATATTGGCAACCTAACTTCTTAAAGGGCACTGTGTATATTACATACTATCATATTTTGGGCAACTTTTAAGTATTTCCCACTACATCGCAAATGAATCCTCTAATAGAAAACAGCATTTCCAAGTATGGATGGCTCTGTTGATGGTGTATGTATTCATTGTTGAGGTAAGAATAATCTTGAACACAAAATCAATCTTCTATACCAAGTGTTCCAAGAATGCAGGCCTGACCTTACATCACAACTTCAGTCACTTTCTCACTACCATAATGTAGTTTTCTCTGTGCCTTTTCTATAAATATTTTTATGATAATTGTTCTAATGAATTTTTCTCTACGATATCTAAACTTTAGAATTTAATTGCAGTACTAGATTGGTGACAAGAGCTTGTCATTTTACAGTTGAATTGGCTCGATGTAACCGTAAGTTCTTGTGTTAAATGAGTTCCTATTCCTCTGACGTCGTTCATAAAATACAAAATACCTCTTGTACAATTCACTATTCTTGAGTTCCATACACAATACCAACATAAAAATATCCTCCCTTTTCACTGCTTCAGCCCTTTTTTATCATACCAACACCACAACCAACTGACCAATTAGCGTTCTTCACTTTTGCCCTCGGTTATCCAGGCAAATGGCATCCTTCAGTCTAACCAATCAGCACATGACTTACTATTACTCGAAACATGCTTTGCTGTACAAAAGCCATCATTACAGAACATTGAAGAGTGGAGTTTCATGCCATTTTCAAGGAAAAAAATTCTGCTGCTACATGCCATGTGTTGAGGTAAGGAACTTATTTTCCTTTGCACCAGATACAAAACACTCTGACTCACTTGCATTGCTTCTACATAATTGTTCATTACAGTTCTATACTAACATTTTTTTTCTCTCACACTTCTCACTTGTGGAACTCTCTTCAGGATTCTTGCTTTCCAGTGAATTTTGATCTTGAAAAATCTAAATACAATGTCAATCATTATGTTCTGCCTTCTTAATTTCTATTCTTTTATTGTTCTCATTCCTTAATAAAGTTTTCTTATATTCTTTCACACTCAGTAATTCTTTGTGTATTAGTGGCTTTGTTGCCTTGCTTGGGGTGAAATGATTAAAATAGTAGGACTGAAGATAAACCTTTCCAAAGAGAAACTATGATGTGCAACTGGAATGAAAGCCATGATGGTACATGTCCCGAATCTATCATAAAAATTCAGAATTTTTTCAATCAATTCACTCCAAGCAGTATAACAATATTTTATATAATTGTAACACTATAAACATTTTTTGTATTGGGGTGTGCAAACACCCACAGGGGACCATCCATTTTTGTAAATCCAAGTTGTCTAACACAGGGTTAAAAAGTTAGAGACATCATGTCGAAGTCAAGTCATTATCATTTAATATTTTAAACTGGATGCTAAATTCTTTAATCTTTAAGGACTGAATAATACTTTCAATTTGTCTTCCACAAAGGATTTAAATCAATCATTATCAGCAACTCTAAAAAAAAAAATAAAAAAAAAAAATAGCAGATTCTTCATAAATCCCTAGAAATAAAAACTGTACTGCTAATCCTCTTTGGGAATGTTAAACAAAAAATGGCAACAATTAAAAGGTGATTTTTTTTTTCTTTGCCAAAGTACATCAGGCACAGGTTTCAGAAAAGCATACTTAAATACAGGGGGTTGCAAAAATAGGTATACAGTAAGTTATACCAGCACTGACAAGTTTGTATAATCAACACAATAATTTTGTTTTTCATTACTGTATACCTACTTTTGCATCCCTCTGTATACAATGTAATGTCTTAAAAATAAATGCTTTTTTCAGGAAACTTCTTTATTATTTCCTCCGTTTCAAATTTCATGACTAATTTTTCTTTATTAAAATTTAAAGTGCACCTCAGAGTTTTAGTTATTGTACAAGTCAAAAAAGGTTGAAAAACACAGTTGTAAACTGTCAACCGTATACAAGTTCTTTCAGACCAATGATTTAAAATGGCTTTGAGTGAATGAAGCCTGTAGATCTTAGAGAGGACCATCATTCTTTGAGCCACATGGACTGGTACTACAGTATCACAAAGTACTTTACCAAACAACAGTAACAACATTACTTCAGGATTTTCAACAGCAGCAACAGGTAAAATGGATATCACATGTAACTCAAAAAGAAAATAATGACATAATCAAGATGTTGACATTCCACACAACTTTGAACAAAAGGTTAGAAAAGAAACCCCATTTCAGTACTAGAAAAATTAATAACAGCTTCTGAACTTGAGAAACCTATTTTCCTGAAAAATTGTTATAATAGAAAGATTTTATGAATTTCAACCAAAAGTAGTACTGATTGTTTGGTCAATGAATGCCATACATTTCCTTATAAGGAAATGGCTAGTATTACTATTACAATTACAATTTCCATTAACAATCTTGACTAGTTTATAGACAAGGATTTGTCTTCTCAACAGACTTATTCAACCTTTACAGTGAGGTGAACCTGAGTGAAGTAGAAGTCCTACCAGGATTCATTATTGGCAGCCACACTCTTAAGAGCATGTTATACAGATGACACAGTGTTGCTAGCAGACACAGAAAGGAAATTACAGAAACTTCTACATAAGGTAGTAAAAGAAAGCAAGAAGAAAGGACTAAAATTGTAAGAAGATAGAATGTATGTTTGGGTCAAATATAAAATTTTAAAAAATTATATAATTAAACTAAAAATAACTTCAAGTCCAACATTAGATTAGAGAGTTACAGAACTGGCATGGCTGCTGGAGTTATCAGAAATTTGTCTTCGGAGGTTCAATCTTGAATTTTCTGTCTGGATTTACTTCCATAGCTTTTTCCATTTTTGGATATGGCTGCAAGGCAGCAGATGTTTAAAATCAGAGTTTTCCTTCTAGATGTACTGCTTTCCTGGGCTGATGAGATACATCTACCCAAAAGCAGCTGGTTATGAGGCTCCAAGCTTATTGAGACGCATAACATGTGAGCATTTTATAGACAGTGGGAGCTTGACCCCACTACCATCCCCAGCTATGATAACCTTTGGAACATACATAATGTACATATATAAACATTACATAAATTTTTAGAAGCTCAAAAAAATTAACTTTTTTTTTTATACAGGGTCAAGCAGAAATACCTTCCACATTCTAAACTGTCACCTGTGTGATGCTAGGGAACTTAGGCAAGTGGTAAAGGTGTCATCATCTATAGCAATGGTAAGGATGTTATCATCTATATTTTTACTTTACACATACCATCATAGATTGGACTGGTGCATGCCATGCCTTTGATGCTGAAACATTTTTTAAGTCTGATAAATCTGTAATCGCAACACAGAAAGCTTTTTATACTCACTTCATGTTACGTCAGAATAATGCTGTTCTGGATAGAAAATCGATATTGCTACGGGCTGAATATTTCAGGGCTTCAGGTTCAGTGCTTAAAAGAAAGCCGCCTGGAAGACCTTGAAGTACTCAAACTTCTCTGGATGATGGAAAACTTTAGAAATCATCTACAACAGTGTATGATAAATAGAGGTCACCATTTGGAGGATGTCATTTATAAAACAATATAAATAAAAAAACTATAGCCCTTTATTTAAACAACGGTGAAATAATCTTTTTAATAACAGTTACATTGGTCTTTTTGTCAACCTTTAAAAAGGTATTTCTGACACACTGTATACGTAACAGTCCATAAACCGAGAATATATTAACATAACATTAGATAAACAAAATCACTAGAAAGCAAGACAAACTACAAAAGAGTTGTACTTATATATAGAAGCTACATATCATCATGATATAAATAAGCAAAGAAAGTCATTTTTATCTGTAGTGTTTTGGGAATGATGTCAATAATCTTTGAAATATTAACAAAATTACTGATGTTGTTTGTTATTGTTGTGGTACGATCCACCTAATTTACATAGTGGAGTACCGACCATATAAATATGGTTGGTACTGGGAAGACGGGTGAGGAAGAAGAGATCCAATCCAGAGACTGCCTGACTGCGACTAAGTCAACCCATTCTACAGGAACGGTCTTCCCAAGAATATACCAAAACTATCTGTAAATATTGTGTACCCTTTCTTGTTTCAATACATTTTGTTTAAGTACATTTTGTGTTGTATTATTATTATTCCATGCTTTATTCAAGTTTCAACAGTTATGCACATATATAAAACTGAATGTTTACACACACACACACACACATACACATGCACACACACATACACACACGGATGTGCAGGTGGTGTGGTGATTAGTGGCTTGGAACAAGAAATGAGTGAGTCAAGTTCAAGTTCTGGTCAACTTTGTTTATTTTTTTTTGTTTTTTTTTAAGCATTTCACCCCAAGCAAGGTGGGAAGCCACTAACACGCAAGAGGTTACAGAGAGTTGGAGTGAGAGCAAAGAGGAGTGATAGAGGAAAGGGGATAGATCAAGGCATCTGGAGACATCGATTGACATAGTTGGAGATTATAGCTCTCAGGGAAACAAGAAAAAGGGAGGGAGTTCCACAAGCAAGAGGTGCGAGACATGAAGCTATTGGAGTAGAAGAGATGGCTACATTTAACAGTTTCGACAGTGAAGAGGTGAGAGCGAGATGCCAGCCTAGTCGAACGCATGAAGTCTGGGAACCAGCGAAAGCAGCTCATCGGAAAATTCACTTTTGCATAAATACAATTGAGAAAAGCATGAATCAATCTCTTCCACCATCTGTGCATTGAAAAGCAGAACAGAATTGGGATCTCTAGCCTTGTTTGACAACCAGTCTAGGAGAAGGACAACTTTAAATTCAAAACCTGAGGAGGGCTGTTTAGAGATGTGTGGTAAACTGTGCACCATTTTTCTCTTATATTTACTTGATCTGTGTAGTTTGTCCAGCAGTTCAGTTCTAAAACTCAAATGTTGAGACCACATACATCGAAAACCTGATAGATAGATAGATAGATAGATAGATAGATAGATAGATAGATAGATAGAGCATTTGTATAACACTTTACTAAATGCACAATACACTTTGATATTTACACTACTACATTTTATTTTAAGTCAAAATGTGCATCCCTTTGAAATCATCTTTCATGTATTTGAATGGTATATATTTTGTAATAAAAGCACTTTTTTAAATTAACAAACAATTTAAATTTGAAATCTGACCAGAAAAATGAATGTTACTGAACTCATTCATATTTAAAAGCTATTGATCATATGTTTCCACAAAAATCAGTTTATTTTTTAAACTTTTTGCTAGGGAATTTTTCATTATGTAATATTATGTTTGTAACATCTAATAAGAATATAAGATTAAATCTTTTATATGTAAAATAATTGTTTATTCACTTTTGAACTATGTCGAAATAATAAGCATGTGGCCGAGTGGTTAGAACGTTCGCATTCTGACAATGAGACCTGGGTTTGAATCTCACCATGGTCTATTTGTCAGGAAGGAGATTTCTTGATGTTATCGGATGGGAGGGGTCAATCCCAGCATGTGGCAGCTTTGGAAAGTGCCTGAAAACCATACCACAGGTTGACCCAAGCCTTGTAAATGAAATTGGGTAGATGGAACCCTCGTGTACCATCGATAGCTGTGCAAGCACAAGGTCAGAAACCATCGTGGCCAAGGGCTTGAGTGTGCTGACCTTGTTCAAATTGTTGATCATGCTAGATAACACGCTCTTTCCCAGAAATTGTAACTAAGGTCTGCTCAGCATAGTTCCAGTATAAACCATAGGTGGGCGCTGTGGATGTTGAATAAGCACAAATGCGCCTGACCAAGCCCCTGCAATAGGGATTGGCTAGCCACTCTAGTAGACAGGTATGCTCGAATACAAGTAGCCTGTTATACTACTACTACTATACTGTCAAAATAACATTGTTCGAATCGAGTGGTATATGGCTTCTACAAATATTTGATCTTCTAGTAAGAACACAAGAGATTCTGCCCTTTTAGGTTTAGCATTTATATAACTTCTTGTCATCCTGATGTGTTGTGTGTGCATATAAGTTCAGCTGGGCTTCTTATTTATATTGGTCTGAGGTTGGATTCTGCACCTGGTAACTTTGAGGTCACCTTCTTGGTCAATACTCAAGGTACGCAAGTCTTTTTACATTCCGAAGTAATTTCATATACAAAGCTTAGATCGGTATCTCTTAGGATGAACCTAGTACATATTGGGTTCATATTTACCACAAGGCAGGATGTGGCACAAGGCCGATTTTTACGTGGGGTGATTCCAAGCCAGTAGGCTCAGGTAAAAATTCCATGTAGACCCCGCATACATGTCCAGTTTGTCTACCTCCAGAGGCAAGACTATGCCCTTCGGCAGAGCTTTGTCTGGGTTCCTCTCTGCCTGGAGACAGAGAGATCGACAAGAGAGGATGAGAAAAGTTCCCCTAACTAACTCTTCTTAGGTCAAATGTTCCTAGAGTAACATTAAATACAATTCATACTTGTGGTATTTACTAGTGTGAATTCTATACTACAGTTGCTTGAGAAAAACAAAAACAACTTAAAATTAGTATAGGTAATAAAATTTTATGAATGTTCCCTTCTGTTCCAGATTATTAGTTTTTTTTCAATTTTAACATGATTAATACAAAAATCACATTAGTTTTTCTACAAAGGTATGCACAAAAATTTAAAAACAATATTTATTATAGCACAGGTTTGCCATCTACAATCCTTCATTCAGCAATCCAGTAATAAATTCCACAAAAGCAGTTACAAATTTCCTTGGTTGCCTTACAGATTAGCCACTTGTGTTTAGTGGTGCTAACTCCTGCATCAGCACTTTCATACACTGCTAAAGCATTTTTACTTGTCTTTTGTGTATTTTATTATTAAAACCTATTGATGTTTAGCCCCAATCTTAGCTCCAGTAAATACAGGAAATGCTTCTCATGGTGTGATGTAATGAATATGCACAAACCTGGGTTCCCCCTCACAGTAATATGATTGGCTGGTGTCAGCCATAAATACAGACTGATGGAGGATGCCTATTGACAACACCTATTGTCTTCGCCTATTGCCTACCACTACAACGAGGACCAGTCCATTACGGTTACCTGCTAGATTGTCCTACTCGGTTACAGTAGTCCAAAACCACTTTGCTACTTCAAACAAATATATCCCTTTCCGGGACATATCATAGTGTAAAGAGCAGACACAATATGTTATCGATAACAAATATAGTGGAATTTCTTTAAAAGACTTAAAACTGGTGTGTCTGTATGAAACTTATGAGATTTATATAGTATCAATCATCTACAGTTTATGACATAACAAAACAGAAAAAAATTGCACAAGTTCTTCATTGACCGTGATTCAAAGAAACAAATCTGTATAAAGAGAACAATGAAATTAAAATTTCACTTGATTTTCAGTTAATTTTTTTCTCCTTTATTAATCAATATCTACTGATTTACTGGGTATTTTAAAGGAAGGATGAAGTGGTTAGCTGTTGGGCTAAGTGCATTGTTATATAACCATCAGTAATCCAGCAAAAGTATCCATCCACTTTCAGATCCAGATTAGGGATTATTATCATGTAATACAATAAATATAACAAGATATATAACTAACAAACAAAGCATAATGCTACAAAACTGTAATTACTTGGATGGCTCAGTGTATTAAGAAAATTACTTAGCTCCAAAGTGAACACTTGATCATCATTATTGTTTATAGTTTGTCCTCTTGTCTTAAACAAAGTTCCATATTTGCGCTATTTATGTTCAAATTGTTATCCTCATCTTTGTTGTTGTTATCACAACATTTCAGCCATTTGGCCTCTGGCCTTCCTTGGGTGTATATTGATCTGGATAAGCTACAGGGAATTGAACCGTAGGTTACCCAGATTGATATACACTTGAGGAAGGCCTGAGGGCACAATAGTGAAAATGTAATGAGTAGAATTTTTTTTTTTAATTTTTGAAAAATAATTGATTTCCTGTATCATAATTCAATGAACTTTTGTTTAAAAATAATCAAGAGGGATTTAATTCAGTTTATTTTTTTAAAAATGTTACCCCAATACAAAATTTCTAAAATTGTATATAAGTATAGTAGTACTATGATTTTCAGGACCCTTCTAGAACTGCCTGGGACTTTCTAGAAATTTATGAAACTGTCTAGAACTTATTTTTGTTTATTTGTAAGTTTGTATGTTATGCTATAGCTATAAACTGATAAATGCTTTAAAAAATACATAAGTACAATCCAATTACATCATTAGCAAATTGAAAAAATAAGTCTTGTGAAAGATTTAGATTTTTTTACCCTTATTGTGTATATGGTAAAATCAAATTTTTGGTTTGAGGTTGACCTTTTTCAAGAGCTAAATCAAATTAATGCCTTTTTCATTACTTTTAAACAAAAGTTCATCGGTTTATGACACAGGAACAGAGGGTTACAAAAAATATCATAACCCTAGTGATGAGGACAATAGTCCAACTATAAATAGTGTAAATAATGATAACTCCTCATCCCAGAAATTCAAACAGGAGGCAATCAGATGATAATAACAACAAAGATGAGGACAATAGTCCGAATATAAATAGTTTAAATAATGATAACTCCTCATCCCAGAAATTCAGTCAGAAGGCAATCAGATGATAATAACAACAAATATGAGGAGAATAGTCCGAATATAAATAGTGTAAATAATAATAACTTCTCATGCCAGAAAGTTCCATATGTTATTACCCACTTCATTGTTTCACCCCACCTCCCCTGGTATCACTTCTCTATCAACTTTATATCCTGCTGAAATTATTCACTATGTTTTTTGGACAGAGAACCAAAGATTTGGTTTAGAACGATTCCATATGAAAATGCAAATGGTGCAGCTTGAATTACTTTTCCGCATTGCTGCAAATTTCTTGTAATTCTCCACTTTGTTATTGCGCACAAAACTATTAACAATGTTCTTAAATGCATTCCAACCTCTTTATTCTATCACCGCCATTTTCATCTCCAGAGTTTCAGATGCAAGCATCTATTTCATTGGTGGTTCAACAAACACACCAGCTGCAAAGTCTGATAGCTTCAGAAACCTTTTGCTCATGTAGAGTAATTGGCTATGGTTAGATGTAATTGGCAGAAATGCCCAACAAACAGAATTGACAAAGTTTGCAATAAACAATAACAAAAGAAAGAAAAGAACAGGGAAAAAAATAATACAAAGTAAACAATATATGTAAGGCAAAGCAACAGTTGTAAGGCAAAAAGTCACAAACTAAGAACAATGTTAACACACAAAAGGGAATACTGACATGCAATTGAAGTGTTCTGACTTCAAGACAAAACAGAATTAAGTCAGATATGATTGAGAAGTGGCCTATCTTATTGGCTAGGAAGAAATCCCATCATGCATCTGTATGTTTTGTCTATAAATTTAGGGAGGGGAGATATATTTATAGTCATTCCAAAGCAGATTGGAGCCAACAGATTGTATTCTGGCATAAGCTTGACCATTGCAATCTAATGCTGTGACAAATTAGTTTTTCAGGTTTCATTTCATATTTAAAGCAATATAGCCAAAGAAAACAAATGCAGTATAAGCAAACAAAGTTACACATAACAGAAACTGACTCTTGATATAACTGACAGATTATTAATATGATGAAAAGAATGCTTCCATCATGTTCAGCATGCCAAAAAAATGAAGTAAACCTGAAAAACTTTTGATTAAATTAGTATGGGAAGTCAACATCTTGACTATGTCAATTATTTTCTCTTTAAGTTACAGGTATTATCCATTTTAGTTGTTGCTGGTGTTGAAAGTCCTCAGATAATATGGTTCCACTTATTTGGTAGAGTTCATTGTTTGTGATTCTGTAGCGTCAATCTATGAGATTTGATGAAGGATAATCATCTTTAAGACCTACAGCAGCTATCAGCTTGGTGCCAATTTTAATTAGTGATCTGAGAAAATGGTTGCATGTAACTGATAGTTTAGACATTTATCAATGAGTTGGACTCCACATGAACATCTAGATTTGACAAAACTATTTAAAACATGACTAGTTTTCAGGTCAACATTTTGGCTTTGTAGCATTTTATGGCATTGGACAAAAGTACCCCAAGTACAATCTATTTTATGTTCAATTTCCTTATCTTTCATGCTAAATTTGTTATAACCAATCCATATACCAAGGTATTTGAAATGTTTAGAATTTATCAGTTGCACACAGTGACAGATCTACTATGAAACTAATGAGTCTTAAGCTTCAAGGCCTCAAATCCCCAGAAGGGCAAGTGAAGCAACTTTTTTAATGAGTGAATTTTCCAACAAAATCAATGTTTTTTCTTTTAAGTGTTTCTTATTAAAATAAAGCCATTGTATTGATAGAATCATGAACCAATGAGTTGAAGTAACTAATTTTTGTCATAGAATATCCTCTGATACCTATTCCATATGGCCTCAAAATTTCCCTGTAATTGGTCAAATTTCAAATTTTTCTTGGAGGCTGGAAGTGCCTAAACCCCCAGATGTATGGACTCACCAGAATCTATTCATAGCCTACATTTTGGCAATTGTATCCTCGGATCTATTGTGAAGTGGCCCCCATATTTGTTTAAGCTTCAGGTCCCCAAAAATGTAGGTCTGCTACTGATTCCACATTCTGAATTTTTATGACAGTTTCAGGATATGTGCCATTCAAAATTCAAGATTAATGTTGTCCTGTCATCCTTGGTTTGTTGACTTTTTTTTTATGGTTTATCAACCCTTTGTTGATTATTATTTAACATATTTTGGGGGTTGTAAGAATAATTCATTTTTTTTTTTTTGCAAGTGAACATTAATAATTTTTTGAAGATAACAATGATTTTTTCAAATATGTGTTACTAATTAACCCATAGCAGGTGGAGGAGATGGATTCCTACCTTTCTCAAGGGTATTGCACATAAGTGAATATAACAAACTAAATTGGAATTCAAACTTAGTTCTCTTTCTCATTCCAATTGGCTACCCATTACACCAGCCACAATATCCTGTGGTCCCGGGGATGATAAAACATCAGTTTGGGATGATTGGTTAGGTTATTTGAAATGATGCCAGGAAGAAATAAAATTTTTAATTAAAATTCTATTATAGTTAATTTATCTGTCTATATCTCTGAGATGAGGTATTATGATTACTTGCATTATTTACATTATTTGGACTGTTATCCTCATTTTCATTGCCATATTCATAGCATTTCGGCCTCTGTATCTCCAAGATGAGGTATTATGATTATCTGCATTATTTACATTATTCGGACTGTTATCCTCATCTTCATTGCTATATTCACAATGTTTTGGCCGTTGTATGCTCCAGCCATCTCCAGGTGATTGGAATTTCGAACCGAACCATTTATTTTATCCACTGGGGTAGATTGTTCTAATTCCACATGTCATGCCTGTTCTGGATGTCTCAGTTATTTCCTTTTAACTCAATTCTCTAAGTTTTGGTTCACTAGTGCTATAGTATGGTATTGAACTCACAACTTTTTGGATCTAATCAATGGATCTAACCAGAGGAAGAGACATGGTACATGAAACTAGAACAATCTACCCCAGTGGACGAAATAAAGGGTTCGGTTCGAAATTCAAATCGCCAGAGCATACAATGGCTGAAACATTGTGAATATGGTAATAAAGATGATGATAACAGTCTGAATAATGTAAGTAATCATAATACCTCATTTCAGAGATATAGACTGATAAAATAAACATAATTGAATTATGTAAATAATGCAAGTAATATTTATTTGAAAAGCAAATAATTCCTTAAAAAAAAAAAAAAATTATTTCTAATAATGGTGTCAGGCCTTTAATAAATGAAGCATACATGTGTACCCACATTCAAAAACTTTTTTTCTTTTTTTTTTTTTTTTTACCTGCTGTTTTACTTAAAGGAAAGTATTTACCTATCCTCATAATTTAATCACACATTTTTAGATATCCACAAATTAAAGAATAAGAATTTTACAAGCATCTTCCATTTTAACATTTTTAAACACTGTGGACAAGTCGAATGAAATTGCTAAAAAGTGAATGTGCAAAGTTGGGTCAAAAGAGAATTAATAAATACACCACATAAGTAAAACGAAAGATAGAATTATGATTTTAAAATAAAGTAATTATTTTTTCTGAGGGGATTTTGTTACATGGGGGTTTATCAGGGAATGGATTATGTGACAAGATGAAGGGTTATTGTGTAACATACACAAGTTAACATAATTTAACATTTCACTGGAATAAAATTTTTAGCAAGCTTTAATTTTTTTTTTTTTTTTTTCAAAATTTTAAAATAACTTTTTTGCTTTTCATTCATTAAATTAAAATAATCTTTAATTTTTAAAACTGAAACTTTTTGGGTTAATGTAACATCAGCATCTTGGGACATACTTCTCCTTCTATGTGCTGTGATTCATGGCTCTCCACAATTTCCTATCTTTTCTAGCTTGAGAAGTCCCAAGTCAATATAAAAAGATGAACTTCACCTATTTAACTGGGCATCACAACCCCCCTGCCTAGATGTAGAGAAATCCCCTAAGGGTACAGACACCTAGTGAGTAATAACCTATTGTTTGTTGTGTCTTATTTTATGTTGTCATATATATAATAAATATGGTAAAAGTATTTGGCATTTTCTCTTCTCTTTACTTAGTACCTCCTTACGTTTTCTGTTTGGGACCTCCTCAAGATATAGGACATTTAAGTATCTAACAACCCAACACTTCTAACGTTTCCACCTAAACTCTGAAATTTTATTTTTATTTTTTTTTCTTCAATAGGAGTAGAAAGGTCTACCTATCATCCAATTTACATTCCTCCCTGGACTTTTGAACACATGTTGAGCATTTTCTCTGGTTTCCTGTTTCGGATTGGGATTCCAGGTCCTTCTAAGGTTTTCTCATTCTCTTTCACTCCCAGTAGCCCCTTGCATTATCAACCCTGGTTGGGGTGAACTGATTAAGAACAAAAAGAAATTCCTAATAACTATTTTGCCAACCATTTACAGAAATTTGTTATGTCGGTTATTCACTCTGTCTCTCATGTCATCCTCCTGTTAGTATCAAATTCTCCAAGCCCTCTTTCCTCATTATATGCCCTGATTCTAAGTGGGAGCATCCATTTGTTTCTGTAACCACAACATCAATATATTAGGAGCACAACTTTTTAAAAATTAAATTCTTACCTTTTTCTAAATGTTGGGAAATTTATTATTACATTTTTTTTTAGGCTAGTATAAAACTTGTAAAATCAAATGCCAGACAATGAAAAAACATTTATAGCTAGGCTTAGGATAGAATAATTTTACAACTTTGTTACAAAGTTTGTGATAACAGGCATCACTAACCTGACAATTAAGTTTGCTTTTAATAAACTAATCACTGATAATTTAAAACTTACTTTTTTATTTAAGTATAACATTTAAAAAAAAAATTAAATTGGTATTTTATGTCAATATGAAAGAGCATTTCAAATGTTTTTATGGTATGAAAACTATTTTATTTTATTTTTTTTTCTATTTTAAGATCAAGAATTCCGGTTGTAGCTAATAAATAGAATGGAAACAAAGAAATATCTGAAAGAAAATTTTTTTTTGGTGGTGAAGAGGTACTTTTAGTTTCTTTACTATGGGACTTTGGAAGCTATCTAATTATAAAACTTAGTCCTTTTGAGAAAGAATGAAAATTGGTTAAATGTTAATTTAACCAAAAAAAGATAGTGTACTGTACTGTATATATATGCATTTATTGTAACCAAAATGTGTGTACAGTGTATTCACTATTCAGCAGTGTTGTAAAGATAGATAGATAGATAGATAGATAGATAGATAGATAGATAGTATAATTGTATGTATAATAAAATGTTTTCACGTCCCAACCGCTCACACACACACACACATACACACAATTATATATGGATATTATTATTGATACTAGTTTATATAAGTGGGACAGACAACTCAAAACGGGACAGTCCCGGCCAAACGGGGACGTAGGCTAAGGCTAAATATAGAACCAATTTTATTATTGTGCCGAAAAACACATGAAAAAAAATCCCCATTTTTAAGCATGGGACTGAAGATGTGCTTGGTTGGTCACGTGATCAACCCACTTCAAAAAGTACCTAGGTACTATGTACTGATTGAAGAAGCACGTTTTTTTATTTTTAAACTTTTTTTTACACTAGTTTTCACACCAATTTGTTTCTCTTTCTTTAGGGAGTCAGTTTAATTTATTTTTTTTTAATTTAAGAGAAAGCAGGTGGAACTCATATTTTTTCAGCGGTTTACAAAATATACTCTACTGATAGACATTGTTGTGTTAATTTGTTGATATGGTGGTCACATGTCTAAAAATAAATATTAATTAATCACATGTACCGATATAGACTCTATATCGGTACATGAAATCTAAACGAAATACTCTCTATATTATAGAGTATTTCGTTTATTTTCCTTTATCATTTTTCCCCATTTCAGTGTGTTTTCATTTTCTTTTAAATGGGGTGCAAAATAATTATTTATTAGCAGAAAACATGTCAAAAACAAAAAGGATATTCCTTGTAATATGAGGCATGGTAAAAAAAAATGTCTAAATGTTAGTTTCTCTCTGCTCCACTTTAAGGGGTACATACCGAGGCTCTTTTGGTAAAGATGTTGTTGATTCTTTTTTATTTAGAATTTATTGCTTGCTGGTTAATTCATGCCAACGAGCGGGAAACTAGTTTTTTGGGGGTTTTTTTATCTTCTTATTTTGCTCACACAAGCGTATTTCCACCTCTTGAATCAGTGTATTATAAATATTTGTAAATTTTGCGCTATTTTTTGTGCTATCAATGAAATTATTCTTTCTTTGTTTAATCAAGTAGAGAGAGACAGAATGCTTCTCTTTTTATAATCAATGGTTTTAAAAAATTAATTCTTTGATCGTTAAAAATAGATTGTAGTTAATTGTGTAAATTACACACAAAAAAAGAAAAAAAGTTTTAAATTCATCTTCTTGGTTGCCAAAACTTTTTTGACAATATATTTCTTCCTAATCTAAAAATCGTCAGCACATAAAAAAGAAAATAAATAAATAAAACTAAATAAAATGGAGATTCTTATTTTTTTAAGATTTAAAGATTTGAAGGATTTATTAACAAGAAAATATTTTGTGTTTTAAGTTGAGCATATTTTTGTTTTTTTTTATTGTGGTTCATATTTAATTTGAAGGAGAATTTCAAAATCAATAACAACACTGTTCTCTCTTATAGGTAAAAAAAATCTCAAAGGTCAATTTCAGATTGTTTAAAAAAAAAAAAAAAAAACGGTAAACCCCAAAGAAAGTAAATGTCAATAGACAGTTATCTAGGCTAAGAAAGCTAAAACAAAAATTAATGATAATAAAAAATACTGGGGCCTACTTAGGTTGGCGGTTGAAAAAAAAAACTATTTATAAGTCCAGGAGAAAATAAAAACCTTTAAAATTTGCATTAAGAGAACATTAATAATGAGTATTATTAATGTGTATTATCTCTGGTAAATAAACAAAATAAACAATATTGTTAAGAAGAACACATACTACACTACTGAAGATGAAGAAGAAGCACATATTTGCTATGTGCTTCTTGAGTAGTACACATGGCATCAGGAAGAAGAAATCGGGTAAATGTCTATAGGACGGGAAGTTGTGATGTCCCTAGTAAAGTGTATCTCTTCTTCTTCTTCTTAAGCTATGTCAATTATCAAGGCCTCCCGCATCTCCGATATGCCGTGGAAAAGCTAGTATACGGGCCACATAAGACTGACAGGGGGTCTAGGAACCCCAAGACAAAAACATATTCACTTCGGATAGATTTTTAAAAGCTTAAATTTCTTTTCTTTTTAGTTAGCGACTATAATTGAACTAGAATTATCTTAATTTTTTTCAAAATGAGAAGCGGGAAGTAAAAAAATGCACCCCCTCCCCCCCAAAAAAAGGTTGTCTCAAAATTACGCTAAAAATAAAATTTATAGGTAATTTGCAATTAAAATGCAAACTCGTATATTGCGTGTGTAGAATAATTATATATATATATATATATATATGAGAGAGAGAGAGATAGATAGATAGATATGAGAGAGAGATAGATAATATAAACTAAAAACTTAAAAATCTGTCTGTCCTGTGTGCGTCTGTAAAAATATCAAAAAGTTCAAGCATATTGTAATTAAAAAAAAATTGTTACTTACTTACAATATTGTCCTTTTACTTTTTTTACGATACGTAAAAGTAAAATATTTTTTATTTTTAAAAGATTAAATTAACATGAGTTAATAATAAAAGAAAAAAGCTATTCCTAGTCTGACACAAGGCATTCGCAAGTAATTACTAAAAAATAATGTATGAAATGTACAAAAAAAAAAAACGAAATATACATTTCACAAGTTATTGAAAAAAAATATGACCAGAATGAAAATATTGTTGTTTCTAACTTAAAAATTGAAAGGAAAATAATTATTATTAATTATTATTATTATTATTTTAATTTTTTTGATGATGATTGTTTTTTTAAAATTATTTTTATAATAATTCTTCATTTTTGGTAGAATACAGTTTAATTTTTTTTCATCATAAATTTATATTTCAAGGGTTAATTAAATTTTTACAAAAAAAATTATACATTAGATTTTTAAAAAATAAATAAACGTTTAATTACAGAAAAACTAAAATAAATATACTCAAGTAGAACCCGTGGTGTGTAAGCAATTGTAGTGATGATGATGATGATGGCGTGGTTTTTCAGCTTGAGGCTATGAACAAAATTTATTTAAATTAAATTAATTGAAAATTTGTTTTTGTTTTATATATATATATATATATATATATATATATATAATTATTTACATATATTTTTAAATTTTTGTAAAATCTCATGAAATTGGTTAACTTTTTTCTTTCTATTTCTCATTAACGCTCACCCATTTTCTCTTTTTCTTTCTCTCTTTTGTCCTCTCTCTCTCTTTCTACTTCTTTTAAAAATATTTTCATTAGACAATGTTTTTTAAGGCATTTAAATATTGACTTCTTTTATGTGCCAGGCGGAAGATGTGGGAATTGACGCAATAACGACAATAAGGTACAATTTTAATTGCACGGAAAATACAATAAAAAAAATTTAACCGAGATATATTGGCATAAATTGTATAATAATAGTAGTGTTTTAACTAAAAAGTCAGTGCTTGTTGAGATAGATAGAAGCTAGACAACAGTGAACTGTGAACAATTCTATTTACAACAACGACGACTATCCAGGAACATGACAATTCTCCCGTTTTCTCTCTCTCCCGGTTTCTTTGTGCAGGACACAGAAATAAAGTAGGTAACAATGAAATAGGATTATTAAAAGGACATAGCATTCACATGAAATTATTGCAAATATGAAGACAGAAAAAAAAACACACACACACACAAAAGGTAATTAAAGAGAAAGAAGAAAAAAAAAGTACTAGTGATTCTTTTTCTTTTTTTCTTTTTTTTTTTTTTTTTCCTGATTTTTACTTACCTTGGGCCTGAAGTCCGTGCAGCAGTGGATAAAATAAATTTTCAGAGCTCCAAGATTAACTTAATTTTTTTTAAGTTGTATGATTTCTTGAATACGCTTCTTCTTCATCTCTTACTCTATCTCTCTCTCTTTTTTCTCTCTCTATCTTTATCTTTCTCTCCAAGCTTAAATACTTTTTTTTTAGCTTTTTACGGGTCACTGAATAAAAGGAGAAGAGAGGAGAGGGGGAAATAAAAGAAAAAAATGAATTTAAATGACCACTCCTTCCCAGGTTAAATGGTTCAGTGGACTGGACGGGACATGGATTTGTTGATGGATGGATAAATGAATGGATGGATGGATAAATCATGGGATAGGTAAGAGAGTGGACCAGCCGGGCAGGTCTAAACCTCCCCTACAAGTACTGTTTAATGTTGACTGGGTGTTTTTGCGGCTTTCACATCAGTGGCGGGAGTGGCCTCCTCCTCTAAATTCTTCCTCTTCTCCTCCTCCTCTCCCTATACTTGACTCTTTTTTTTTTCCCTCCGTCCCAGGGAAAAAAATGATTACATCTCTCTCTCTCCCCCTCGTTGGACCGAATGAAAGAGAGTGAAATATTGTCGATCCTGGTGAAGGGTCCGATAAAGCTGCAATAGCAGTAGTAGTAATAGCTGTAGCAGTAGTTGTGTAGTTGTGAGAGTAAAGAGAGAGAAAACGGTTATTGAACACTAAGCAATGATGATGACGATGTTGTTATTGTTGATGGTGATGATTTGTGTTATTTTGTCTGGAGAGAGAAACGAAAGCACTAAGAATGGGAAGATGATTGATACACCCATAAAACAAACAGAGATACAGTTGCATGCACACGCACCCACATATACAAACACACGTGTGCACCTGCAAACACAAAAATAAATAGGATAAAGAAAGAGAGAGAGGAAGAGAGAGATGGTAAAATAAGAAAGAGTCGCTAACTGTCTCTTTCTTTATTTTTAGAGATATTGATGAAAGTGTGCTGAAAAATTCGCGGCCGGAACCACTTCCAAATCTAAGTAACAAAATGACCAAACATTCAAAATTTATGGGGAGGATTTTCTAGCCAGGCCAAGAATTTCAGCATATTTATTTAATTTACGTACTTGACTTGCCTATTTTTTCTGATAAAAGCACGCACGCACACACACACAAAGGTACCTCCAAAGAAAAGCGATACTTAACTTAAGGTTTAAAAATAAAATCCTTTTTTTTTTTTAAATAAAATAATCTTTCTTGCTTGAAGCTTTTATTTTATTTTTAATTTCAAGTTAATAGTAAATTTAATATTTCCGATGAGCGATTTTTTTTTTTTTTTTTTTTTTTTTTTGCTGTATTTCAAAACGAATTAATTGGAATAATGATTTTTTTTATCTTTTTTTATTTTATTTTTTTTTGGGGGGGGATCGTTAAAAATGGCAAAAATCGTTCAAATCTGTCAGCACGACGTAATTCTCTTTATTAAAAAAAGCTTTTATTAAAAAAAACACTTTCAAAAATTAATAAAAAATGTACTTGAAACTTTATTTGAGGAAGATTAGTTGATTTTTTTAAAGTTTTTGAATTTAAACAAATATTAGTTTTAGTTTAAAAAAAAGCATTTTAAACACAGAGGTGGGTGTTTTTTATGAGGTGTTTAGTTTACAAAACTTGATTAGAAGAGGCGATATTGTATGTAGGTATGTAGGGTACTTTTTTTTAATTAAGTTTTCTTGAGTGCGCACGCTGGTAGACGAAACAAACATTGTTTACTTTAGTTTAAGTGTTTACGTAAATATAAACTTTTAACAGAGCGTCTACTCAAATACGAGTATCCTGATCCACTGAGTAAAACTACTTAACGTTTGAATTTAATGTTTATATAAAACTTTTTAAAAGTAGAAAAAAAGGTGTTTTTTAAACCAACCACAATTCATCCAAATAAATAATCTAAAAGTCAACCGATAAGGTCTGTTTCATTTTTTAAATTGTGTTTTGCCAATTTTCGAATAAGCTTCTGTTTGTGTGGGTATAGTACATTTTTCTCTAGAAAAATATACAAATAAGCAAAAGAAAGAGAAAGAAAAATAATAAGGAGTGGGAGAAAAAGAATGACGACGAGAAGAGAAGAAATAATAATTAAGTGGGGTGGGGGGGTGTCATGGAGAGAAAAAAATAATAAAATGTTAAGAAAAAAAGGATCTTTTCTGTTAATTCACCCCAAATAATGTAAAGTTATTTATCACAAATATTAATTTACCCTAAGAAATTATAATGTTAAATCAAAGTTTACTTTTTTATTAAATTTTTGGCACTCTTTTCACTTTTGAAATAATAAATTTTTAAATCAAAATTTGTTTTTTAGCTTGCCTCGCAACAACTCCAAACTTTCAGAATGAAAAATTACCAAAAAATCAGTAATTTATTAACATTTTGTAAATGCAGATGATTTGAGGTATTTATAAGGAACTTTTTACAATTAAAAAAATAAAAAAATCTGTTTTTGGCTTGTTTATAGGAATGAGCACGAATACGGACCCTATAATAGCGCATCGGAGTCATCCACAATCGGGGCGATCTTTACGACCGAAGTCTAAGATGGAAGGGCCTCGCTCTGTGAGAATTTGCTGTGAATTTTAGTAAATATAAATTCTTTTTATTTGGGGGCGAATTAACAGAAAAGATTCAGAAGAAAAAAAACAATACAGGATTAGAAGATCAAGACAAAAGAACAAAAACCCTAGTTAGTCATGAAGGTTAAGAAAATCAAGCAAACCTTTTCCCCACTTCACCAAGTAGTAGCACAACAAAAAATCTTCCTATTTTTCTTATGGCACGTCCTTGTGTCGCGCGTACTTAAAACTTAAAAAAGTAACACGAAGTAGAGAATTGCCTCATAGCTGAGATAATCGGTTACATCCACCAGTCCCGAGAGATTACTAAAAATAATTAAAACCCCGGGATTTTGCATGATTTTCAAAACAGGCAAAACCTCTCCATTTTGAAAATTAGCGTTACCTCTTACTTAGCTTCTTACATAGAATATTTCCCTACTTCGTTCTCTAAGCTAAGAACTTTATTATTAAATAATAATTATCATAAAAGATGGCTAAAGTTACGGTTGCTTGTTTAATTTAATTTTACATTATCATTTCATTTATTAAAAAAGTAATTATCAATTAACCATGCCTCATTATACTAGCTAGGCTACCCGGCGTTGCCCGTGTAACTTTTAATAACAGCAACAATAATAACAAATTATTGACGTATTTTACAACACTTAGAAAAGAGCACGATTTAAGAAAAGAAAAAGAAAAAAATAGTGTTTAATCATAATAAACACGTTCAAAAGTAAGTCTATAATAATAATAATCGGCCAAATATCGTGATCAAAGACCACAAAAACAAAATGTACTCTCTTATTTACATGGCAGTTCCGCAGACTAATGTATCTTTGAAGATCTCCAAAAAACTATTAAAATACAAGGATCTTGAAGTGGAAATCTAAAAAAATGTGGCACATGAGGACATCACTAATTTAAGTTGTAGTTGTAGCCTATAATGGTGTGGGGCTTAGGGATTTAAAATGAACAATTGATTTACCTACGCCGATAAGATTAATGAAGGATAATAATAAGAAAGAAACACGTGGGTAATTTTAACAAAACAAAGTAAGGAATTTATTCATGAATTTACACGCTTGAAGTAGTGTCGGTTGCTCGTTTCAGCAAAAATAAATCAGAATTCTTAAATGTCTGTATTTTTAACGTATTGTCATAAAACAGATTAAATGATCTGATGCAAAATAATGTTAAAAATGTTTAAAACAAAGGTAAGAGAGTTCGTTGCTCACCGAAGGGATATATGGTTTGCATCCGTTCAAAAGTAGGCGAAGAGAGATAGTTTGAAATACTGAGCTTTTTTAGATTGTTGAGAGAACATTCTTTGAAGTGCCTCGTGCTGGTTAGAGGTTCATAATATAATTGACGAGTAATTTTACACTAGCGAGTACTTCAACGCCGATCGCGTGGAACTGAAACGAAACCTTTCACATGACATCAGAGACTCTTCTCTGATTAATTTAATTTTTCTCCGCATTTTATATCAAAAGGAATATCGTGTACTTTCTTTCTTTCTTCTTCTTGGTTGATCGGCTAATTTCTGTGAAGGCAAGGTTTTCATTGGTCCAAAGCAAATTTCTCATGAGTTCGCGAACGTCTTTCCTCTTTCTTCTCGGTTCACTAGTTAATTTATGTGAAAGTCAAAATCTCACATAGGCTCGCAAATTGTTATTATTATTATTATTATTATTATTATTATTATTATTATTATTATTATCATCATCATTCGATTTCTGCTATGGACACTACTACCAAGTCTGCGGAAAGACCTAAGGCAATGGCCACATTTCATGTTAATTTTTTTTTTTTTTTTTTTTTTATCTCCGATGAAGTTGCTAGCGTTACATAGACAAAAGTTCTCCTTAGTGTGTGTGCTGTAATTGTAAGACAATTTTCTGTATGTCTCTTAAGCTGGGGTTTCCAGGATTCTTTCAATGTGTTGTTTTGTTCCATTTTTTATAATTCCAAGTGCACCTATTACCACTGGTATTATTCTTGTTTTCAATTTCCACATTTTTTCTATTTCAATTTCCAGGTCTTTATTATTATTATTATTATTATTATTATTATTCTTTCCTCCGAATCTGAAGAGAGTGGGTGAAGGGAGTTATTATTTCGTACTCACTACAAGCCCTCGGTTTGATTGGAAAAGGTTTCGATAGACTCATTGAAGAGATTAAAAAAAATACAAGTGCAGTTCACACCTTATGAAGAGCTTTATCTATGTAAAATGTGTGAATTTAGTTTGTCTTTTTCTTTTTTTTTTTTTTTTTTTTTTTTTTTTTTTTAAAAAATGCTCAATGGTAAATGTCATGATGCTATTTCTGACCATAGGTCTCTGGTTGGGACCCAGAAGAAAATGAGTATACGGCAGAAATCAAAGGAAATAATAAAATAATTATTCTTATAACCTAACAATATTAATTACAATTTAATTTGGATTACGGCCATATCACGTTGAAACATTGGTTCCGGTATGATCACCGAAGCTAAGAAACGTCGAGCCTGGTCAGCACCTAAATAGTTGACCGCTTGGGAATACCAGGTTGTGTAAGCCTGAATGTGCGGATAATGGTTCATAATTTTTCATCAGAGGGCCGGTTCACACCCTCCTTGGTTCTTTGGACGGGAGTAGAGGTTTATCCCTCGTTTCATGTTTAGCATTGGGTCTTTGATTCCTTTTAAAGTCTACTTCAACTGTATACTGCTAACATCTCCGCTTAAACACAGACATTTTGCTTACTATTTTTTTCTTCTCTCAATAGGAGTAGATATGTTCGCATATCGTTCGGTCTTTCGAACAGGTCTTTTGTTTCTTATTTAGGATTGAGTTTCCGGTTCCTTCTAAAATTTATTTCATTCTCCTTCATTCCTAGCAGCCCTTATGTCTTAGTGTCATTATCGCTTTGCATAGGGTGAACTGAATAATTTTTTTTTTTTTTTTTACATAATTGAATGACGTCAGGTTTAAAATGGAAACGCTAAAATATCGGCTTTTTTATTTGCTTCATTTTTCGAATGCTAACTACGTATATCTTAATTTACAAATATCTTCGCTTATATAAAGAATACATATATAGATTATTTATCAAAACCTTCCTTGGAATATACTGAATCTGAATATACAAGGCCGGCGCGTACTACCACCGACCTCCCACCAGTGGGTGCTTGTGGCTCTCGCTATCTTATCAACATTTGCTTCTTTCTATCCACTATTATATACGTTACAAATTAAACTAAGCATCAAACTGACTATTATTAAAGGATGGAGTATTTTCGCAGATTTTGACGTCATTCTGGGGTGTGTGTGTTTGTTTTGTTTTTTGCTTTTTTTTTCTTTGTTTTGTTTTTTTTTTCATCCAAATATCTGAATTTGTTTTACTTTTACTCATGCTAAGTCTCGAAAAAACAGTATATAAAATTCGCTGTTTTTATCTATAATGTTGAATGTGTTAAAATTATTCAACATTTTAACAAGAAAAATCGCAAACAATCACAAAGAAAAAAAAGAAAGAAGAAGAAAATAAAAGCAAATACGGAAACAAGAAAGAAAGAAAGGAATTAAATTTATAATTTAAAAGTGAATAAAAAAACGAAAAAGTAGGGAGGTCGTAAACGATCACCACATTAATTGAGGAAATAGAAAGAAAGTGAGAAAGAAAGAAAGAAAGAAAGAAAGAAAGAAAGAAAGAAAGAAAGAAAGAAAGAAAGAAAGAAAGTTTATAAATTAAAAGTGATAAAATAACGAAAAACAAGGAGGTCGTAAGCGATCACCAAGGAAATTGAGGAGAAAGAAAGAAAGAAAGAAAGAAAGAAAGAAAGAAAGAAAGAAAGAAAGAAAGAAAGGAGGAAAAAAAGAATGAAAGAAAAAAGAAAGAAATTGAGTTTATAATTTAAAAGTGATAAAAAACGAAAAACTGGGAAGTCATAAACGATCACCCTAATAATTGTGGAAATAAAAAAGAAAAGGAAGTGAAAGAAAAAAAAAAAAGGGAGAGAAAGACAAGAAAGAAAAAGGGAGAGAAAGACAAGAAAGAAAAAGGGAGAGAAAGAAAGAAAGAGAAAGAAAAGGGAGAGAGAAAGACATGGCTGATGCCCTATTACACCAAAATTAAGACTGAAAGAAAACAATGAAGACAACAACAAAAAAAAAAAAAAAAAAAATGATGTCCAAAAAAGAAAAGGAAGAAAAATGTGTAATAGATGTCTTATAGTTGCAATGTTGTAAAACAATGAGACAAAGAAAGAAAAAAAAAAACAAATAAAAAAGGGAAAAAAGGAATGAAAAAAATCAAAAGATAGAAAACTGAAAAAAAAGAAAAAATAAAGATGCAAAAGAAATAATAATGCATTAAAATGAAAAAAAGAAAAGAAAGAAACGTAAAGGGTAAAGAAATCAAGAGAGAGAGAGAGAGAGATGGAAACTTCTTACTGATAGAAAATAAATGAAAGAAAATAAGAAAGAAAAGAGGAAAACTTTAGAAAAAAATAAAGAAAAAGATCTATCGTTCGAAAACGAAAAATGAAAGAAAAATAGTGACAATTAAAGAAAGATGTACTCTAGCTTCAAAAAGAAAAAAATTAAATGAACAAGAAATGAAAGACAAAAAAAAAGAGAATGAGCGATGTCCTATAGCTCTATAAAACTAGAAGGAAATAAAATGAAGAGCAAAGCAAAGATTAAAAAAAAAGAAAGAATTAGGGTGTTACATCAAAAATGCGTGAGTCACACTGTCAAACCTGTATTGATCTTAAATATTAAACCATAAATGTCCCTGCTTTGTAGCGTATTGTAGAACACACTGAAAGATAGGCACCGCATTCGTTCCACTTCCCCATCTTATCAGGAGACTATCAACCTTTTCTGTCTTTCTGTCTGCCTATTTTTCTACTTGGCCTCCTGGGCAGCAATTGCAAGCATTCATCAGTTGATGATAGACATCTCTTTTTATCCCTTCTTCATATTCCGACAGACTTCATTAACCCTTTTATTCATATACTTGTCTCCAATTTCTTTACCTTGTTAATTTAATTTCTTCTCCTTCTTTCTGTCACCGCCACTGCTATCACCCAAACTATTTTAATACCACCATCATTCTCTACCTTTTGTCGTTATTTATTAAGGTTCATTATCATTTGCTCATTGGCCATTAACATCAATAGTAACTGACAGCTTACAACAGAGATAAAGTGACACCAAGTCTCCTTAATATTCTCCCTAGTGTTCTGGTTATTTTCAGTTATGCAGTCGTCTAGATGATTACAACTCTCTCCCTAATTTATAGCTCCGTCTAAATCTTTTATCCAATCTCTTAAAATCTGTTCTGGTGCTCTGATAACGGCTGATATGACTGTCACTTTCCTGTTTCATAGCTTTCTCAGCTCTTTGGTGAAACCGAGATACTTATTTAATTTTTCAGTTTCTATTTTTTTTTTTTTTTTTTTTTCCCAGATCCAGCTTCTGGTCTGCCGAAACAGCAAAATTCGCATATCGCGATGTTTTCTTCTTGTTCTTTTCCTGTACCAAGTCCAGTTTTCCGGCCCGAGTTGGGTGATCCATTTGAATCTGAAAATCCCAGAGGTTTATTAGATGTTTCATTCTCTCGGGCAGATTCTGATTCTTGCACTTATCATCAGTTTGTATAGTCGAAATACACCCTCTCTCTCTCTCTCTCTCTCTCTCTCTCTCTCTCTCTCGCTACTCTGCGCAATGCGGTAAACTGGATTCCATAGCTATATCTGTCATCGGTGCGATGATGTCATGGCATCGCTACGCGGAGGGCTACTTAGACAGAAAACGGCTCAGTAGAAGGTTGCACTGATGTAATCAACGGCTACGTATCAGTGACCGAGGCAAACCTACAACTTGGTAGGCGTCGGCTGTGGTTTGACCTGAAGAGGGATGGGCTTCACCAGGTCTACTTGCCCAAAACATATGTTTTTCTTTTTCTTTTTTTTTTATGATTTTATTGATCAGTTGAGTCCAGGGTAGGGTTTATTCAGAGTGAATGGGAGGAGAATTATTATTGCCCAGCTAACAAAATGACGTTACTAAAACATTTTTTGCAACGTTAAATTAGAGGTTGCACACCCTTTTTTCGTAGACTTCTCACAACGTGTCCTCAATGTTAGTTTGTAACGTTGCAAATACGTTTCCTTGTGAAGTTAAATTAACAGAAACTGGATAATTAATTTTTGGAAGATATTGGAACGGGCATTCATCACCTAAATTAATGATTCTCAATTAAAAAAAAAAACGAAAAAAAACTTTTTTTTATTAAGATTTTTCGAATATGCGAGTCGATAAACGTAATACACATTATTTTTTAAAAAATAGGGCGTGTATTTGAAAAACGAGTATCCGCTATAATAACGTTTGAACTAATATTGTTAAGAAAAGAATAAGTACAGAGCAACCTCAGTTCTCGAACGTCTCACATGTCGAACAAATCGGTTTTCGAACAGAATATTCGAGAAGAAAATACCTTGGTTATTAAACAAAATTTCGGTTCTCGAACAACCGAGCCGAATCGAGTTAACCCGAACGGAATCATTTCTGAGTCAACCGCCATATTGTATACATTCGCGGGCTGTTCCTTTCCAATTTTATTGTACTGTGGCTTTTTTTTTTTTTTCAAACAAAAAGTTAAGAGAAAAAACAATTGTTGGTGATATTGTCTCTATGATGAAACTGTATCTTCTTACTCAGTTTTATATGGCAAAATCAATGATCTATATTCTTATAAATAAAGAAACGATCATGTCTTTCTCTTTCCAATTAATAACATTTCTTTCCTCCCCTACCCTTTCACTTTCGCCGTCAACTATCTTACTTACAGGTACAGTAAAATTGAAGTGTTCGTCTATATTTTATCTGTTTAGTATTGGGTTTATTTATTTTATTATTAGATTTAATGATTTTTATTAGTTTTGTGTATAAACTCGTGCACAATGTACTGTTGTTAAAGTTTAAATAAGCAAGCATCTTGGGACCAGGAACGTATTAATCCATTTTACATTGATTCCTATTGGAAAATAGTTTCGGTTTACGAACGAGTTTCAGTAACGAATTAAATTCGTAAACCGAGGTTCCACTGTATTCTGATATTACAATTGACCATGACGGAATTTTTCAACTACAGCACTTTGAAACCTTAACCAAAATGAGTTTGAGTTCAAGAGAATAGTCGATTTCAACGTTAGAATAACATCGCCACGTCACATATCTCGCAACCAAAATACAACACAACTTCAATGTTTTAAGAGCATTCCGTGTTAACTGAGAAGTTTACCTGTGCTGTAAAAATGACGAAAGCCACTCAAGGTAGAGGGTTACTGCGTGGTATTGCATGAACATAAGAAAAGGCAAGAAGCGTAGTTCATGAGGTTATGCAGGAAAGATAACAGTCAACCCTAGACTTGAAAAGGATAAGATTGTACTGATTGGTAAAACATCCCGTTGGGAGTCTGTTCAACAAAGCAGCAGTTCTTGGGGAAAAGCTGTTCGATTGGAACTTACTTCCTTCTATTGGAACATGAAGGGTATGGAAATGATTCACACTTTTTTAATCCATTTCACCTCAATCAAGACAGTAAAGCCACTAAGATTAAGGTTGCTGGATGTGGAAGAATTAAAAAAATAGAAACTTTACTAAGGAGCAAGAACAAAAGAAGAAGAATCAGGAGGTTAATAGAAAGCGATTGACATTGCATTTAAATTTCTGAAGATTAAAGTTGGCAGGAAGACATGAAGCTGGAAGAGTGTTTAACTAGTGGGACGTGCAAGAAAAGAAACTCTTACAGTTTCATCTAGCCAACTCAACTGTAAATTGGTGAGATCTCATCGCCAGTCTAGCGCTGCGCTTAAATTCCTAAAGTCTAGGTACCTTGGCAAAGAGATCATCCGAAAAGTTGTCATGAAAATCTTTATAGAAAAGGCACAGGGAGGCAACTTTACGGCAATTGGAAAATGACTGAAACCGAGACGCCAGATTAGGACCAATAATATTGCTGATTCTTCTTTGGATTTCATCAAGGAGCTCAAGGTAAATAGCAGGGAAACCGGACCATATGTGGCAGCAATATTCTAAGCATGGACAAATGGTAGACTTATACATATGCAAGATAGATTCAGGAGAGAAAAAGTTGTCTATCGTTCTTAGCAGCTGACCTGATTCAATATAGACTTTCCACTTCATATCAGAGAAGAATGTTAGCCCGAGAAGTCTAGTGGGGCTAAGGAATGTAACTAGTCCGAACAAGTGCCATGGAAATAGCGATAGAACAGCGAGAGGCTTACGACATTTCGTCTGTGGGAAAGGGGTTGTAGGGTGCAATATAATTCATCACCCACACTTGAATTCTGTCAAGACAAGCAAATGGACTGGGCAGGTCCTGCCCATATATGGCAACAATACTCCATTTTTTTGTCTGATCTGGCTCTTGTAAAGATAGCAGGGAGAGTCAGATAATTACTGGACCGGCACATTGTCAGTCAGCCAGTTATGTGCCATGCATGATACATGCTTAGGCGATCATGTATCTTTCGATACATGACTGACGAGGGAGATTTTTCCCGCAGTAGGTTGCCATTTCTTTCTGCGGTAGACCAGTTGTCATCCAAGGCTATAGAACCCGGTCTGTTCTGCTATTTACCCATAGCTGGGCGGGGAGGGGATTCACACTGTAAATGAATGTAATGGATTCGACTGGAATTCGAACTCGGCTTTCTGATTCCTCAATCCGAGCCGCTATCCATTACTCCACTGTGCGGTACAATGAACCGACCATTTTCCCAGCATCGTTAACAAAAGCTCGGATATACGAGTTCCACTTGAGATCTGGATAGAGCTTGTGTCACAATAGACGTTCAAGACAAGAGAGAACAACCACCCATCATGATAGGTGAAAGTTTGGGGTCCTGCTCGGCGGTGGTGGAACGTTACGATTTTGGTTTTGGCCGTATTGAATTTTTCACCCATTGAGCCACCTGGGTTAGATCAGAGCAAAGATGCTAGTTTCTGGTCTTCCAGTTTCTGAGAGGTGCGCCTAGAAACTGTTGCATCATTCGCTGATATTCGCTAATGATAGGAGTATGCTCTCGGGTAGATCATTAATATACATTAGAAAGAGGGTAGAACCGAAAACGGAACCCTGTGGAATGCCTGCATTGGTCTTATGGGCTTCCAATGATTGGCCATTACCAATGACCTTCAGGAAGGACTAAATAATTGAGAGAACCCTTCAAAACCTTTGTTTCACTGTAACTTTTTGCTTACATCTAATACATCTTGAATGTTTAATACATCTAATACATCTTGAATGTTTAATACTTGAAGTAAAGTTAATTAACGGTATTAATTAACCTTTTCTTGTTCATATTGTTTAAATTAAAGCAATTATAATAAACTAGTTTAATTATACGGCTATAAACACACACATATATATATATATATATATATATATAACCTAAACCTAAAGAGCCAGGTAAATCTACCTAGGTTTCACCTATACAGATCGTCAGGTTTCACCTATACGGATTGTCAGGTGAAACGTAGGTAGGTTTACCTGGCTCTTTAAGTTCATATTTAGGTTTGCTCTACTTAGCATATTGAGCACTTTACGTAGTTACTTTTGCTTTACTCATTTTGGAGGGTTTTTTTTCTTTGGACTCTGACCTTGAATTCTGGACGATTGTTTTCGCCTCAATTTCATGGCGAAATTCTTGCTTTTTTATCCCTTACTTTTCTTGGGCATTGGTTTGTTCAATTACAAGCCAAAATACCTAAGGTTTTTCCAAACGAGTATAACTATATATATATATATATATATATATATATGACTGATATCTTGTTAAGTCCTTACCTTTATTAGAATATTTTGTTTCGTTTTCATACTAAATTTCACCTAATAAAAGGCTCAAGAGTTACTCAAGGTACAGATTATTGATTTGTTTTCTACGGATTATCAACCCTTTGCAGGTTATTTAAAACCAGAAAATATTTTTAGATTATATGATTTTTATTTGGTGTTAATAATGGTTTAGCGATATAAGTCTTACTAATTAACCCCAAAACTGGGGGAGATGAGATGGATTCATACTTTTCCCAAGGGTATTTGTACGTAAGTGAATATAAGAAACCCAACAGGAATTGGAACTAGGCTCTCCGATTAACAATTCCAAGCTAATTTCGATTACACCACCCTCACATAAAACTTACAGTACCTGGTATTCCCAAGCGGCCTCACATCTACGTACTGTCCAGGATTGACCTTGCTTAACTTCGATGATCGTATCCCTTCAAGATACAACGTTACAGTCAAAATAGTAATGCTGAATACGGAGTTTGATATGAATGGAAGAGATGGCGCCAGGAAGTGAAGATGATGAGGAAAAGAAGAAACGATGACGATTGATCTTTGACCTGAAGAGGTCAAAATTGTTCAGGGAAGCAACCGCGCCCGAGTCTGTTCCACAAAGTGGCAGTTCTGAGGAAAAAGCTGAGTTAAACTTTCTCCTTACATTTAGAATACGGGGGGAATAGGGGGGAGGTGATTCGGCTCCGTGGAAACGGCATGGCGTGTCCAAGTTTTAAAGGTCTGGATTGGTGGAATCAAAGACCCACGCTCATTTGAACATTTGCCATGGAAATAGTGATGGAGTAACAATTAAAAATGCCGAAAATATATGCGTAAAACCGGGTGTCTCCCTCCGAAAATGTACTCACATTATAAATGAGAATAAAAAGCAGTATTTATTGACTTGCAAATAAGATTAATGATTACATTTAAGAAATATTAATCTTTATTGATAACAAAAAGATTAAAGGTTGAAATTAAACGTTAAATGAAATTAAATGCATGTTTATAAATATTCATACAGATGACGAAGTCAAAAAGTGATACCATTTTTTGGGGGGACGCCGTGTATATAATTTTTTCTACTCGAATGAACGCAATATAATGAACGGGAGATACTCAAGGTTGATGGTTACAAGTAAGAAGGTTATAATGATTAAGATGCGTGATAGAAGGAGTGGTAAGAAATAATGGGGATAAGGAGAATATATAACGATTGATTATTGATTTGAAGAGGTTAAGATAAAGGAGTCCAGAGAAGCATACACGTGGGAGTTTGTTACACAGATTAACAACTATTAATGAAAAAATTGTTTTGGTGGCTTTTCTTCTTACATTGGCAAAAAGTGGCCAAATGAGGGCGATTCAATGAGAGCGGAAGCAGCAAGGCGCGTCCCAGGTGTGAAGGTCTGAACTGGAAGGACTAAAGAATGGAATGGTTATTTTACAAATCATTATTGTCAAACTCTGCATCAGTCTTTTCTCTTGTCAATTTCGAAAAAAAAAAACAGTCCGCCATTGTCAGAATGATCACTGCCTCCTGATGGTTCACACCCCGCCCCCCCACCTATGACAGGTTTTGTCTTTAATCCTTCTGAGTATCTAGCCACCATCCTATGGTAACATTAACATTCCTTGAGCGACTTGACATAATTGGCAGCAGTTTCTGGTTATAAGTCCAACACGGTAACGTAAAGTAGAATCTCTCTGATTTCACTGAACAGCAACTTCCCGCTTCAACCCGGTTAACCTGAAAGCAATGCTTTCGGCGTTGTGCCGCATTTAAGCTACGCACAGAATATCACCATAAAAGCACTGAAATAGGCTGTGAGTGTCAAAATTTATACATTTTCTTTCTGGAGAAATAATAACAAAAATATTAAACAGTGTTGATTTAGAAGATTAATTCGGCAAAGTTTAACAAACATATCCACAAAAATGGGAATATACAGTAATAGCGATGTCAAGAATATTCTTGTTGATTATCCCTGATTTGCTTGGATCAAAGAATTGTATCGGAAAAAGACACACAGCTATAACTACACAACAGAAAATCATAAAGGACAAAGCAGAAACCATTGGCCACCAGGTGACTGGCTACATAGAACGACAGATCCATGTGACTTGGCTTCTCAGACGACCCGCAAACCATATGCATTTGTTTCTCAGACGACCCGCAAACCATATGCATTTGTTTCTCAAACTACCCGCGAACCATGGGCATTTGTTTCTCAGACGACCCGCGAACCATATGCCTCCGTATCTCAAACGACCTGCGAACCTTGTGCATTGGCTTCTCAAACGACCTGTAAACCATGTGCATTGGCTTCTTAAACGACCCGCGAACCATGTTCATTGGTTTATCAAACGACTTGCGAACCATATGCATTGGTTTTTCATTCGACCCGTGAAGCATGTGCATTGGTTTCTCAAACGACCTGCGAACCATGTGCATTGGCTTCTCAGACGACCCGCGAACCATGTGCCTTGGCTTCTCAAACGACCTGCGAACCATGTGCATTGGCTTCTCATACGTTTTGTGAACCATGTCTCTTGGTTTCTCAAACAACCCGCAAACCATGTGCATTGGATTCTCAAACGACCCTCGAACCATGTGCCTTGGCTTCTCAAACGACCTGCGAACCATGTGTCTTGGTTTCTCAAACGGCCCGCGAACCATGTGCATTGGGTTCTCAAACGACCTGCGAACCATGTGCATTGACTTTTCAGACGATCCGCAACAAATAACAAGAGCACGATAACAGTTGAAAAAACTGGATATCGATATATCAGTAATGCAGGAAACGAGAGATGATTCGGACGACATTTTGCTGTGAAAAAAATGGTAATACACGTTATTCTGGCAGTGCAAACTTTCCCTGAAGAACCCCGCCTGCACAGCGTCTGCTTTGCAATCAGATATGATATGTTTGCCTATGCTAGTTACTCGCACCGGGGCATCAGAATATAACCTTATAAATGAAGAAAAATGTTGTTTTTTTATTTTTCCTTGAAACGCAATGTCGCCATTCTCATAGCTTAGATATGACACAAGGCCGAAATTGGGAATTACCCAGTGAGGATCGAACTCACTCGTAATTGATCTACTGAGACAAGCTTGCTAACCATTACACCACGTCGGAGTGCCCAATTTTAGTGAATTTATGGCGAAAAGAAATGAAAAGAATTGTCCAGAAAATTCATTTTTTTTTAAATTTATAATTACAATTGTTGTCTTTATTTAAAATTAAATTGTTCTGAGTTTCTCTCTTTGGTACCTCGACTTCACCAGTTTAAGGGAAGTACTCGATTGGCAATTAGGTCTCATCTTTTTACTATTGAAATTGCTAAATGTAACCGTAAGTCCCACGCTAATAGTTTCTTCTCTCGGACTACTTGTTTGTAGAATTCTTTTCCGGTTTCATGCTTTCATATCAACTACGATTTGTAAAAAATTAAATGCAATGTCAGTCATCATCTTCTGTCTCTGTTATATACCATACCTATGAACATTAATGGGTATGTCCCAATCCTCATAAATACGTTGGATACTATTGTAAGTGGGGGTAATATGCTGTCTAAATAGTCCACCACTAGCAGTGGTTTACCTACTTCACGGCGCTAGCGATTATTGTATTTTGTTGATGTTATAAAGATTACCATTTCATTTCCAACCCCCGTTTTGGTTATTCCTCATTCAGTAACACTTTCTAGGTTACAACAGTCTCCTTGAATCCTTTTATTTTATCTGCCTTTCTTCTCAATAACTTTTTCTCAGTTTCTTTCACACTCAGTAACTTCACCTCCATTGCGTCTTAGTGGCTTTATCGCCTTGCTTGAGAAGACTTCAGTGCTGATTTCCAAAGCATGCACACCCTTTCCACTTGGAAATTTGTCGGAACACAATCTTTGAGATTCAATTTAGTGGCGTAAATAACTACATAATTATATAGGCCGGGGTGCTTGCCATAGAGCGAGAGTAAGTAGTGTTGTATAAGAAATTTTTATTTTTGGTTATTTTGCTTTAAGATGATTCAGTGCCGAAAAGAAAAAGTTAAAATTGGCCCCTACTAGTAAATTGACTCTTATCTACGTCACCTTTATTACACAGCATCCCTTTAATGTGCCACTCAGTCAGTCTAGGACCCCCGTTGGAGTTTACGCCAAGCGAGGAGGGACTTGCATGCCACTGTTTACCTGGATTCCTCTCCAATATGGAATTTTAATAAGGCTAAAAGCTGTTTACTTTGGGAGCGAACACATAAAAAAATATAACGAGAAAAGAAGTCAGGGAACTGAAGATTAACTGTGAAAGGGTGGGGCAGAAACAAAAAGAAAATAACTGAAGAGAAATAAGGTAAAGTTGTCGGGGAACTGCTTCTAATTACGAAATACTAAAGTAAGGGTTGTATGTGGGGATAAATTATGTACAAACTCCGCTCCGAGGGAGATAATGACGTGGAAGCCTTTTGACAAACCGCGAACTGGAGAGAAAGTGAGAACAAGGGTTAGAGAATAACCAACTCGCAATCTGATTGGTCAATATATTCCCTTCTGCTTCTTTGATTTTAATTGTCTTGTTTTAATGGAATACGCAAACACTACACGGCGGGGAAAAGCCATCCACTTGGCGTGTGGGTTTCAAAACAAAACAAGTAAAAACATGGAACATGCTGTTTTTTTGTTAACACATTACTGACGGGAAACCTTAAGAGATATTAGTAAGCATTCGAAAATATACAGTATTTTCTAGCGCATAATAAGAGAAATTCTTAACAAAAATTAAAGGCATAGGTGGGGGGTCGTATTATACACAAGTACACCTTTACAGATATATTTACTAACTTCTATATTTTTAAAGACATTTTTATGTTTATACATTCTTTTTATAGATAAAAATATTTAAGTAAATGCTTTGTTTATAATAAACAGTATTAAATAACATTTACCGGCCTGAATGTCCGAGAAATTTTCATAGAAAATATTCATAATGTGTGACGTCATTTGTTTACATTTGGATACACATTGAGCAGATATGAATGTACGTGAGAGAATCAAGGAAGATTGTAGTTTAAAGACAGTAAAATCGACCTTGCTAACCGAACGATCCTCTGTGGCTCAATCGGTTAGGGCATGTCAGGCTATATGATGGTTCGATTCCTGTCGGAGGACGAATATTTTCTATGAAAAAAACCCTCACGCCGATATTATTTTCATTTCAACTGTAAAATGATGAGACCTAGTTTCCAATCTAGTACTGCGCTTACATTCGTAAAATCGAAGTGCCAAAGAGGAAAGCTCATCAGAACAACTACCATGAAAATAATTATAGAAAAGGCACATAGTAGCTATGGTACGGCGGTGGAAAAGTGACTGAAGCCGAGATGCCAGGTTTGGTCCGATAATACTGTAGATTCTTCTTTGGGTTTTTTTCAAGTATCTCTAACTACAAAGTATAAGAACCAGACCAGAAGTAGCAACAATATTCAATACATAGGCGAATGATAGATTTATAAATGTTGGGGGGAAATGTATGATAAAGTGGAAAAAGTTTTCGTGTTATTTCGTCCTTTAGGGCTTCATCGGACTAAATTTGTTACATTGGTGCAATTGGGAGAAATGTGAACCGAACGATAGGCGAACCTATCTACTCCTATTGGAAACTAAATAAATAAATAAAAAATAAATAGCGAATAAAATTTCAGAGTTTTGGACGGAAACGTTAGAAGTAGAGTAGGAACCGGATACCCAGTCCTAAACTGGAAACAAGGGATAAACCTTCTACTCCTGTTAAAAAGACCGGGGGGCAGCGTGAACCATACAATAGGCGAACCTATCTACTCCATCGAATGTAACTCTCGTTAGAAATCGACTCTACTTCCTTTTCTGTGGTTTGGTTCCTTCTGAGTGTTAGATTTTGTTTGATAAGATAATCTAGGCCGGCAGATGTAAATTTCACTATTTAAGAAAATAGCAATGTCGACTCAAACACGTGCACCGAATAAAATAATATTTATAGTAATTAGAGATGATATCAGATTAGAAATATCCATTATTTGCTGAAGACAAACCGTGCGACTGCACCTTTTTAATATATTCTTCATTTTTATTTTTTTAGATTAAAGATCAAAGTATGCTAAAATATTTTAATCATTTCTAAATATAAACGCCTGCACTTAGCGATGTCAGACAAAATTTCTGCTCACTTCTCAACTACTTTACGCAAACATAAAAATTACTTGAAGCATTAGTAGTTTTTGAAGAGTGATATTCATATCATATCTTATTGTGATATACCATCTTGAGTAACCTCCTGATTCCCGTCCCAGATTTATATTACGAATGCCAATATAATTTTGAACGTGGGTGTACAAAAAGATTTTTTTTTAAATAAAAAAAATGCCTGTAACAATAGTGTTTATGCTGCATATTAAACGGTGGAACAACACGAGAAGCGATGGTAAACACGGTTTTTATTATTTATTTATTACCTTTAGGACTGTGTTTCCGATTCCTCGTAAAGTCTACATCAACTCTGTCTTTTGAAAAGGACTAGGGGTTTATTCCTTGTTTCCTGGTTAGGCTTGGCTTTCCAGTTCTTTCTAACGTATGCTTCAACTCTATACTTCTCTAACGTCTTCGCCTGAACTCTGAAATTTTATTCATTATTTATTTATTTTTTTCCTCAATAGGAGTAGTTAGGCCTGTCTCTCGTCCAGTTCACATTCCTCCCCGGTCTTTTGAACACGTTTATCCCTTGTTTCCTGTTTAGTATTGGGTTTCCGGTTCCTTCTAAAGTCTACTCCAACTCTATATTTCCAGAAGTAGATAGGTTCGCCTATTGTACGGTCCACGCTGCTCCCCGGTCTTTTTAACAGGACTAGATGTCTATCTCTTGTTTCCTGTTTAGAATTGGGTTTCCGGTTCCTACTCTACTTCTAACGTCTCCGTCCAAAACTCTGAAATTTTATTCGATATTTATTTATCTTATTTATTTATTTAGTTTTCAATAGGAGTAGATAGGTTCGCCTATCGTTCGGTTCCCATTTCTCCCCAATCTTTTGAACAGGAGTAGAGGTTTATCCCTTGTTTCCTGTTTAGGATTGGGTTTCTGGTTTATTATAAAGTCTTCTCATTCTCTTTCAATCCCAGTAGTCCCTTGCGTCTTAGTGATATCATCACCAAACTTGGGGTGAATTGATTAAAAAATAGATATTTTCATGGTAATTGTTCAGATGTAACATCTACAATTCAAAGTCTTTACAGCATATTAACATCTTGGTTATTTGAAAACGTCTCTCTTTCACTCGTTGTTTTCTGTTTTACAGCATGTACTCCTTTATTATCATTATTATTATTATTATTTCAGAGATGATATCACCCCTGCCACAATTTACTCGTTAGGTAGTACTCGCTATTTCCTCCTGCCCCTCTTGCCTTCGGTGTGTCTTGTATGTGTCAAATTTTCTATGCCTTCTTTCCTCATTATGAATTTTACAAATTTATTTTCCTGATTCTAAGTGTAAGTGCCCTTTTTGTTTCCATTTTCTCTAAAACTTGGTTGTTACTCACATTTTCTGTTCATGCTATTCTCAGCATTCTTCTTTAGAACCACATCTCTGTTGTCTCGTACCACTTCTTCATCAGCGAGGAAATTGTCCAACATTCACTGCCATGTAAGAGTATTGATATTACCTAACAGTTCAGTAATCTTTTTTT